TGATGGTCAGTCTCTGAAACATATTCACATAAGGCAACTGATACTCTTTTAACTACAGAAGTTTATTACGCAGAATAAGAGAAAAAACCAACCAATTATCCAAATATTGTAGGCATTTCAAATACAGGGCGAATCAAAGTCTGAACTTTTCTTTCTGAGCACCAACTTGAGTCCACAGAAATAACACCCCATCGCAATATTTCTGCTCAGCCGGTGGTTTCTCCGCCATAGACTGCAGATGCAGTGCAGTGGGTCCTTTCCAGTTCTGCCCATGGGAACTTTCCAAAAGCCGACAGCCCTAGACTTGCTCGCTTCTAATGAGCTGCAGCTCTCTAACCAAACGGTCTTGCTTTAGAAGCTTCGCAGACTTAACCCCTGAGCTCTCTCCCTGAGAGAGGAGCTGATCCCTGGCTGAGTGAAAACATGACTTGCTTCATCCTGGATTCTCCGAACTGGGGAAAAAAAAAGCTTTGTCTTTGCCCTACCTGCAATGTTCCCAGTCTTTATTTCTTTGCTATGCATTCGCCTGAGGTCCATGCTTAGAGAATGGTGTCTACCTGACATCAACCCAACAGTGTGAACATTTTTCTATATGTCACAACTCACTGGACGGAGGAGGGGATGTAGGATAGCACACTGAAAATCATGCCCCATAAGAGTTTTTTTAAAAGATTTTATCAAAGTGCACAATTCCCCATCAGGTCAATGGAAAGTGCAGACTGAGTTTCTGTATTTAGCAAGAATGACTGTCACCAATAGATACCGGTAAAAAAATGATGAATGAACAACATATAACTTGATTAGTTTAAATTCTAACCCCCTTGTAAAACTGACCCCTCCATTATCCGGAAAAATAAAAGTGGTATTATGGATGGAGGGGAAAACTGAGAAGGCAGTTTAGCAGTCCCTTTGTACAGGTTTCATGGAGATGAACTCTACAGCTTGCTGCTCTTCAATCTTTCTCCTTCAGGTGCTTTTCACTTCCTTGCAAGAGGCACAGAGCAACTGGTTCGTGACTTAAAAGTCTCTTGCTTGTTTAAGGTTCTTGTTGGCTGGAAGCAACAGCTGCAACAACTAGTGAGGGGAAAGAAACTGACTTCTTTAAGGTACTTTCTACTGAAGAGAGACACCACCTCCCATCCCAGAAGTCTGGAGGCTTTCGGCCATGTCGCTCACACCCGCGAGCTGGTTAGCTACCTGGGAGCTAATCACGTAGGTGTTGTCAGGCCGAAGGTGACCAACTGGTCGCCGCTCCACAGACCAGTCAGCTATATATTGCCAGCTGAATCCAACCTTGTGTGCACTCTCTGTGCTAGATTGTCTGTAGTAATCTCCTCTCCCCATCAACACCCCCCCCCCTCAATTGCAGGGAGTGTCAGGTAACCTACTACTTAAAAGCCAGCAACCCCCTTCCACAAACCTTGACATTTAAAAAAGATGCAGAAAAATAAAAAAGATACTGTCTTGACAATTAACAGTGCAGGGTGTCTGCAGTCACCTTACTGATACATGCTGGATTTAGATATTGCTCTAGAAAGACGCTCTGATCCTTCTATTCAATAAAGAAAATCCTTCACAGAAATAACCAACACACATCTGCCGCTGGCTCGAAATCCAAATTCCAAAAATAATGTTGATGGAGGCAGTTCTTGGGTTACGAACGGATTCTGTTCCAGAGTCTGTTTGCAATTCAATTTGTTTGCAAGTTGAAACATAATGCAGGACAATGTAAAGTAGTGGTTTGTAAGCACGGGAAATGTTCATATGTTGGATCTTTAAGCCTACACCCGATATGGGATCAGGTTCATGTGTCAGACGTTTGTAGATTGGAGATTCCATGACTTTCATCATAGTAGCCTCCCCCCTCTTTGATGATTAATAGGCCCTTTAACCCCCAAAGTTTGCCTAGATCCCTAAACCAGAAACAAAGTAAGAATTGCATCGGAGGTGACAGACACTGGTTCCTACGGTCACTACTGCTGTAATAATGAGGGAGTACTGCCCTGGTACGAGGGTCTTATCTTTCAGATGGCAGTCCTTTGGATTATCCACTCGGGTGAAAACTAATATCATCGCTCTGCTGACTGAGCGTTCGCCTTGTTTTGTAGAGAAAGACATCAACTCCGCTGCGTCAAGTCCCACAGGTGCCCTGATGACTGGCAGTTGGGCAGGCTGGGCTGTCACGGGGGTATCCACTCTCACTTCCAAGTTAATCCGAGGAAATCCAGCGGCTGGAGGGCAACCGGCTGCAGGACAGGCCCCAGGAGACAAGCCGGAGACGAGAGAAGGTTTTGTTTCGTTCACACTATGTCTTAAGTTTGTTTGTTTTTTTTTAATTGTGTATCCAACCCCACAAACACATACACTAAATGGACCTGCTCTCTGTGGTGTACAAACCATTGGAGAAGGCACCAGAAAGATTTGCTAGAAAGATATCAGTCTGTCTTTTTTATTCTTTCATGGGAGATGAGCGTGTTTGACTGGGCCAACGTATGTAGCCAATTCCTTAGAGTTAAGTATCCAACCACATTGCCTCAAGAACATTAGTGAACGAGATGAGCTTTTACGACACTGAACATTAGGCTAGACTTTTATTCCAAATGTAATCATTCACTTTTGATGCAGATTTCGCTGTCTGCTAGAGTGGGATTGGAATCCTAAACTCCAGAAAGGTGGCACAGTGGTTAGCGCTGCTGCCTCACGGCACCGGGGACCTAGGTTCGATTCCAACCTCGGGCGACTGTCTGTGTGAAGTTTGCACATTCTCCCTGTGTCTGCATGGGTTTCCTCTGGGTGCTCTGGTTTCCTCCCACAGTCCAAAGATGTGCAGGTTAGGGTGGATTGGCCGTGCTAAATTGTCCCATAGTGCCCAGGGATGTGTGCAGGTTAGGGTGGATTGGCCGTGGGAAATGCAGGGACGTGCAGGTTAGGGTGGATTGGCCGTGGGAAATGCAGGGACGTGCAGGTTAGGGTGGATTGGCCGTGGGAAATGCAGGGATGTGCAGGTTAGGGTGGATTGGCCGTGGGAAATGCAGGGAT